AAGTAAACCAAAAGATTGAAGGGTGATTCTCAAAAATCTGTATTTTCTGCAACTTAAAATGATCTAAACGCTTGCAGAGGAGCAAAATTGGGTTAAAGGGTTAAAATAGAAATTGTGCTTCAGTAATTTTGCGTTAATTGTATTAAATTATTTTAACGCGTTAAGGATTGTAAAATTAATCGCATGAGTTAACGCGTTAACGATGACAGCACTAAACAAATAATAAAAATGTCAACAGCACATAAAATTACTAAAACTTTAACTAAAATTAAAATGAAAACTAAATCAAAGAATTAATAAATGGTATAATAATAAATAAAGAAAACATAAAATAAGTTTAAAATCATTTATACTTTTAAAATATTAAAATATTTGTAAAAATAATAAAAAATGACGAAAGCACATAACAAAATTAGTAAAAATTTACTAAAATAAAAATGAAAACTGAAAATATAAACAAAAACTAATTTAAAATATTAATAAATACTATAATATTATTTAAATATTTAAAATACATTTAAATACAAAACTGATATTTTAAATTGTAATAATGTCACAATATTGCTGTTTTTACTACATTTTTGATCAAATAAATGCAGCCTCAGTGAGCATGAGACATTTCCTAAAAAATAAAAACATTTTTAAAAATCGTAAAAAAAAAGAAAAAAAAAAGATAAGGTAATCTAGCAAAATTATTGGGTAAAATAATCAATACTTACTTGAATCTATTTTTCGTTTTTGAATGATATGTATTTATAATTAATTTCTCTTTGTCCTACGTTTTGATTTTTTTATTTGACTTGATGCAATGTATTCTGGGATCCTCCTTCTCAATGCTGCCTTACATGTTTTATGCTGGTGACTTTTTGAAACAGTCATTTGCATCAAGAACGCACCTGTGATTCCTGTAGCTCGCTAGGTTTTGGATCCAAGCTTCACATTGAGGAATTTTTCACTCATGCGCACTTTCCAGAGCAATCTGAGAATATCATACATGCCCTTGCTCTTAATTTGAAACCCGACCCTGAAATGTGCTCTTATGCGGACACACATGCACACAGGTGTGTGTGTGTGCGTGTGAGAGAGAGAGAGAGATGCATTAGTATTCTTCTGGCTGTCTCGGAGCAGATAGATGGGGAGCAGAGAGACGCTCAGGGTCACTGGCATCAGGATGAAAATTTCTCTCTCCGTCTGTGTTATCAGTCTTTTTTCCTCTACTTCCTTTCTTGCGTGCTTTGTCAGCGCCCTCTCTACCTCATTCTTTCCTTCTATCTCTCCCAGTCTCACTCTCTCACTGTCTGCTCCCTCCTTTCACCCAAATAATTGGTCCTAAGTATATATTGAATATACTAAACAAAATCAGCGCCAGTGTTGAGTAACATATTTATTTCATTAAAGTTTCATTTTTAGGACAAAGCTGTCTTTAACTTCACGTTGTTTTGTGGTCAATCAGTAATTGTAATCAGTAAACTGATTAGTAACCCTACAGTGTTTGAGTATTTTTAGAAAATTTTTAACATCTCAAATCATTTGATTCAATTCTCAGTTCATTTTGAGTTGGACATGACAATAGTAATGACTTGAAATTTCAAGAAATTTCAAGTACTTGTTAGATTGATTCAGGCTGATTTTTTTTTTTTTTTTTTTTATGCTCAAGCACCATGTTAAACGATGATTACGACAAATGATGATTACAACTAACACAGAAATAAAAACTAAAATAGAAATAACTTTTAAAATTAACTACAATTAAAATGAAAGCTGAAAATATAAAAACAAGCTAGTTCAAAATGTTAATAAATTCTAATACATAAATAATAAATAAGCTTAAAATCACTAAAATAAAAATACATCAAATCTAAATAGAAATATTAAAAAACTAATAAAAATTACAAAAGCTTACAACAAAATTACTAAAACTTTACAATGAAAATGAAAACTGAAAATATGAAAGCAAAAGCTAATTCAAAGTATTGATAAATACTGTAATATGTAAATTAGAATTAATTTGAAAATTACTAAAGCTAAAACTCAAATAAATATAAATGAAATTTATATAAAAAAATTATTTTCAACTAAACAGTTATTAAGAAATGAATAAAAATGGCAAAAACATGCATCTACTAAAACTTTTAAATGTATAATGAAATCTGAAAATATAACAACAAAAGCTAATTCAGTATATTAATAAATACTATAACAATATATAAATAATACTAAAATAACACTGGTTGAAGTTTGTGAAAATTATTCAGTTCCAGTATGTTATGTTATGTTATGTTATGTTATTTAAATGGAACTGGTTATGAATAAGAACATACATTTCATTTGATTATGAATAGTAGGTATACAAATATTTGCTAATGCAAATTTTATACACGCCTAATGAGTAGTCTCTCACCATATAGAGCTTTCCAAATGAGTCACTTAAAAGGTTCAGTTAGGATATTGCCTGTAGAGGACAGCTGCCTATGTAGGCTGTAGACAGCAAAGTGGATCACTAGGTGTTGGAACAGAGCCTCTGTCTGTTTGTTCTGTGGGTAATGAGCAGTAGATTGTGTGGCTTCATGTCAGAGCCACATTCATGCACACTTTTAGCACTTACCTTCACTTCACTTCACTACACACACACACACACACACACACACACACACTCGCCTCTGCTTCACTCCAGAACACACACCTCATCATGTCCGCACTGCTGACCCACACACACATGCACACCTTTTGGCCTGGCCTGTGTGGCCCACACCTGATTACCTTAGATGAGAGGAGCACTCCAGCTGCATTCTGAACACTCACTCACTCACTCACTCACACACACACACACACACACACACGGTGGCTCAGTTTCTCTGCCTCCTGAATTCTGATGGACTGATACATCTGACAGTACTTGAGATTTTTGACATTAATATCAATAATTAGACATGTTACCTCCCTCTTGTGTCAGTTCCAAAATATTATTTTTTTATTTTGTGAGTTTTGTAAATATTGTTAAATATAATAAATATAATCTAGAAAAGTGTAATGTTGTGTATATCTCATTTGCTTTGTTTTTGAATTGTATTATGTATATGTCAGGAGTGTATGAGCCATTGGTTGCTCTGTTCTCTAGATAGCGATACAACAGAATACAACGTTCAAAGAATCCAGTTTATAAGCGTTTTAAAAACTTTTATGCAAACATTATGGAAACATTCCATTTTATCATTTTGAAAACATTGTGTAAGCGTTACTTTTGAATGTTCTATGAACGTTCAGTAAGAAATAGTAGCATTTTAAAAAAGTCCTAACCAGATACATCGCAATGCTGTGACAGACGATAAAAGGTATATTTTCCATGTTCGTTAGAGTTTTTGTCCTAACCAGCCACAACAGCAACATGCAACAAGTGACAGGGGATTCTATTTTAGAAATGGTTTCTATTGCTGAGACGTGGCTGTTGGAACAACAGTACACTAACTATAACGATGATTATGTCAAATACTGATTGTGTGCTTTATTCATTTGTTAAAATGGTTTAATGTGAGTTTAATTGGGTTTGTTAGACATCCAACTAAAATGTTTCAGAAAAAAAAGTTCCATGAACGATGTGCAAAGAAAGTTTTTATGCAAACATTTTAAGAACATTATTAAAGAACAGAGAACTTTGAATAAACGTTCAGTTAATGTTACTGGAAGAACATTGTTCATAACTTTGAAAGAGCCTTGCCACAACGTTAGCCAAACTTCTGATAACATTCTCTTTTTTTATATTTGATATTTTTATATTGTATTTGGATGGGTAATCAATGACTTAAAGTTAATAGTATTTTATTGTTAATGGTATTTTATTTTATCTTCTTGTTTTTTTTTAAATGCTTTGTGGGGTGATTTAGTATTTGCAATTTCGGTTTGAGCATTTGATTTATGATTTGAGCATTGAATTATAGATTTTTTTATGACAGGTTTATCCTGGGTTGAGAACGAAAATTATATATCAAATACAAATTATTTTTAATACAGTTCATGCTTCCCAGAATGAGGAAATGAAATTGCATTTGAGATAAGGTTGGGTCAATAGACGATGCCATCGTCCATCGCCGATGGCTGATAGACACCACAATGTTGAGCCGGCATCGAAACCCCCCCCCATTCCCCCAGCATCCCAATACCATGTTCAGAAAGAAAATGACTGGTAGGCGGAACTCCTAAAGGGAATAAATACGAGATGGGAGGAAAATATATATTTCAATATTTTTCCTTGCAGTTATATAATTGGGTAATTATACTACATATATATTTCGGCATCAGGGAGCCGCTATTAT